AGATCTATACACTGCCATTCTTGGATGTACTTTTCCCTGCCTTATTCTTTTCTTTTTCTATACCATTCTCTTTTGTAACATTATATTCCTTTTTAATGTTTTTAATCATTGTAAACCTATTGGTGGTATAGCCTTCATCATTTTAAGTTCTTGGTGGTGGGGGTGGGAGGGTCTGATCTTGCTGTATATTAACCTGCTGGCTTTCATTCATAATGGGTACTTCCTTATGTGTTTTTTTAATTTGGGACTGTAAGCTCACTTTTACTGGGTTTTTATCTGTGGGACTTTTTTTAAGGCCTGCGTTGAAGGTGTGGCCCTTCAGAACTGTTTTATATTTGCTTTTGGTAGGCATCCATGGTTATTGTCAGCCTACAACTAATATTAATGTTAATTTTTCAGCATGAGATCATTAAAATTCCAAATCTATACGTGGTATAAACCCATGGTAAAGAATTTCCAGTAAAGATTTTTATATCACTTCCAGCCTAGGACCATGCTCATTCATTTCGATGCAGTCTCCCTGTTTGAGTGGTAGATTTGTTTTTCTAGTCCATCCTTTCATTGAGGGTTCTGGTTTTATGTAGGAAGGTCAGCTCTGCCTTCTTGCCTCATTTGGGTTGAATGCCAGGTTTCCTGTCTCTGTTTGGCTATTAAATCCAAGTTCCCATCTGTGTGGTCCAATAGAACTTGCCACAGTGATGGAGTTGTTTTATATCTGGTGTCCCATATGGTAGCCACTAGTCACATGGGGCTTTTGAGCAGTTATGAAATGTTGCTAGTGAAACAGAGAAATTGAATTTGAAGTTTCAATTTATTTCTATTAATATTAATTTAAGTAAATTTAAATTAGATTGCTATTTATGGCTTGTCCCTACCATCTTAGACAATATTCCCTTTTGAGACAGACTACATATGTGAAGGCACTCACAGCATCATTTACTTCACTTATCATTCTGGTTTTCAGTTCGCTCTTTATTTATGGCTCCAAGAATTTATCTTACTCTTTTAACTGGGCATTTAAAAGGATATTCGATTTTATCTTGTGTTTTTTTTTGTGAGCGGGAGCGGTTTTATATTATTTAGTTCACAGTATTGCCAGAAGTGGAACATAGTCTCTGCTTTCATTTTCTCTTCCCTCCAATCCATCATCTTTACTGCAAAACAACTTTTCTAAAATGCAAATCTGTTCTTGCTATATTTCTGCTTTCAAGAGTTCCCATTCTCTCAGAATGCAGCCCAAGCTCAGTATGGCATCTGAGGTCCACTGTAACCTGACCCCTGCCTCCTCCCTCAGCCTTACCTTTTCTTGTTCCTTCTTGTACTTCATATTCAAGCAGTGTCAAATACCTGCAATTCCTTAAATGTGTCCTCCTATTTCATACTGTAGGTACTTTGTTCATCTTGCTCCTTCTACCCGGAATGTTCTCCCAGCCCATCCCCATCCCCCCCATCTGCCAACCATCATCTCCCCACCTTTTACAGCAGCTTGCACATAACCTCTCTAAGGCTTTACTGACTCCTATTTGTACCTCTTCTGGACCTTGTCTAGCATTCGGTCACTTCACTGTGTTTTCCACCCAGGGTGGATGCCTAGGAAAAGACTTGCTTTGTTTTAGTTTCTGGAACCCCAACACCTAGCCCAGGGACTGACACATGGAGGTGCTGATGCTAGGACTTCTTTATCCAAGAAGGTAGTGGCGTCTTTGTGAGACATCCGTGGGCAGCTCAAGGCACAGGCTTGCTCCAGGTGTTAGAGGAGGTCTGAATTGGGGCAATGGTAGTAGTGTCTATCTTTAGAGAGCTCTAGAAGTCGTTTTGAGGCTTCAGGTTCCTAAGCCCAAGGTTCACAGACTCCATCCTACTTTAGTCCCAGTTCCCTGCCAGCTTCCCTTTCATTTTCTGAGAGTCAGTATGGTGACTGTGTAGTTGAGAACCGGCCTTGCTTGTTGTGTCTTTTCACCGAGCACCTGTAGGGCTCCAGCTCTCACCCCTCTCACAGCTCTCTTTGGACCTGTTCTTTATTTTTGCTGTGAAGGTGAGAGAGGGCAGTGATAGTGAGCAGAGAATGGATCAGGAAAGAGTAGGGCCTTGGTTCAGTATGCGGAAGGGCTGGCCTTGCCTCACTGAGCTTTCCTAAGCTGCTGAGCTGGCTGGGGATATTGTTCCCTTACTCCTAGTCCATCCACTGCTGCTCCTGGAAGGCAGTGAGCCCTTGGCTTTTCCATTCCAGGAGGGCAAGAATATTAGACCTCCAAAGGAACCTTACCCAGTGTCCAGTGTTTAGCAGGTTCTTAGGGAAATATTTTTTGGATTGAAACCTGCTTAGTTTGTCCCTGTCCCCCAAGATGCCTATGAGCTGCTGCCATCCTGGAGAGTGGTGGGTGGTGAGAGCGCTGGGCTGAGAGAGAAGTCTAGATCTAACCTTAACTCTGCCCTTAACTAGCTGTGTGATGTGGAGTAAGTTGCTTAACCTCTCTGTGTCTCAGTTTCCAGGTATTGTATGTAAGATATCTAGCTAAACCCTCAGTGCTTATGAGGTACTTGGTGACTGTGTCTTCCCTTTTCTATATCCCTATGGGATATTTGCTCTCACTCTATATATGAGAAAGCCTTTTTGGCTTCTTTCTTCTCCTTGTCCCATCTTTGTCAAGCTCTTTCCTTCCCGAAGCAAAGGCTGTGTGTGTGTGTATACACAGAAGATTAGAAAAAACCAATCCCTCCAATACCCAGACCACCAAATTATTCTTTCATGTACTCTGATTTCTCATCCTTATTATATGTGGTCTTTTATTCAGGGCCTTAAATTGGAAAAAATTGGACTAACTGATATCATACAGTTAGCCTAACTGATGGACAGTATATTCCCCAGAAATACAAAAGATAGTTTCAAAGGGCTGTTAACCATTCAAATTACCCAGGAGGATCCCTGTCCTGGAGGCAACTGTGGGAAGAGGGGCTGGGCCTACCAGGTGAGAGCAGGAGGGGATGAGCAGGTCAGGGGAGCTGGGAGATATGGGGAGTAGGGACAGATCTGTCCGTGTTCTCTCAGGAACCAGTGCTTTGCCTTCATCAGCTGCTTTTCCTCCTTCAACTGCTTCATTAACTTGAGCAGAAGTCTTGGGTCAGCTTTCAGGTTAGTTGTTGGCTGGTGTTTTCCCTGGGGAAAGCTGGGAGACTGGCTAGAATCACTCCCATTAGCAGTTGGCAGCTCCCCAATCTGCTTTTTAACCTGGACTGTCTCAGCCCTGACATCTGCCGGACCTGCTGTGATGTTCACACATGAGTGTGGGCTGTACCCGCTGTTTATTCCCCACCTTGCCCCCTGTGGGTGGGCCTTGCACCTGCTGCCAGAGCTGAAGCTCTCACATTGTGAAGTCTGTGAAGACCAGCTCCAACAAGCACTGTCCTAATGAGAGCAGCTTTGCTCCCTGGCACTTACTGAACTGCAGAGCTGTGGGGAACAGAGCTCTGAATGTGGCCTCAGGAAAGAGTCCAGTCCAGAAAACATCATTAGTGGCTTGTGCCATGAGGAAATGTTCCCTGGGAGGTTAAGATAAGAGCTAAGTGGAATTATGATAACACCAGCTGCCTTTAGTTGGGTACATACTCTGTGCCAGGCACTAGGCTAAACCCTTTGAACTCATGACCTCTTTTAATACCAGCCTATTGGGATAGATATTGGCCCTTTTTACAGTTGGATAACATGAGGCCAGAGAGGGGAAATGACCAGTTCAAAATCACACAAGCTGAGCTGAGACCACTGACCCCAGAGCTCACGTTCTCACCACCTAGTATCTCCTGTCTGGCATGACTGGGCACAGAACTTCTTAAAGCTTATGTGTCCCAGAGGCAGGGGGAAATGGTGCAGGTTGGGGGCTCTAAGTCCCCTATCTACCATGGATTAGTTGTAGAGATGGACCTCCAAGAGACTGGAAAAAGCAGATTTGACCCAAACTGACCCTTCTTCAGGAGGCAGATTTCGGGGATAGGGGTGGGCAAGCAGCCCCCAGAGTGCTACCGCATCCTTTTCTCTGGCACTGTGTGGTGTGAGCCCCAGCAGCACAAGCTTTAAGAGCAATGAAGCCAAGGCAGGGAATTTGCAGGCTGAAGTATGCGGAGAAGGAGGACGGGGCAGACAAGCTTCCTGCCTTGCTCTGATGTGGCTGGGATATTTGTGTTTTACATGAGCCTCAGATGTGTGTGTGTGTGTGTGTGTGTGTGCGCGCGCGCACGCGCGCGTGTGCCCCAAATGCTCTAGTTATTGTTTTCTCCCCTAAACCTCTGAAACCGAGACTGTGCCTGCTGCTTTCCTGAGTTGCTGATGGGTCTCCAGCCCCAGTCATGGAATAGATCCCAAGGGGGTGAGTCAGAGTGTGCTCGAAGCTCATAGCTGCAGGGCCAGGCCACAGTGGCAGATCTAAATATTCACCAGCACCCTCTCCGAGCCTTTGTTTTTACCACGGTACCCGTAACTCTACAGGTCCCCTTTTCTTCCTCTCTGCTAGATACATCTTTATCATTTCTAATTCTCACTTTAAAGACCTCTGAGAATACCCAAAGCCCCACTTGGCTGGGGTCACATAAATAATTCTTTTACCTGTGCTCTCTTCCCAAGCGGTTATATTCAAAGAACCACTCCAGTCACTGGAAAATGGGACCTCCCTGAGGGTCCATCACTGAACCCAGGGCAGGACACAGGAATATGCAGAAATTCATGTCTGGGCTGCTGTTCCAGGTCCTTTTAATCCGCATGGCCGGATTTTCAAGTGCCTGAAGGAGAGGCAGGCTGCCCAGGTGAAAGGGCGTTGGCCCCGGTGTAGAGGCCCCAGCTGCCCCTACTGTCCGCAGAAGTTGTGCTGACCAGGCGCAGAGGTCGGAACCTGTCGCCTGGGCCTGGTGCTCAGAGGCCTGATCTACACGGAGACCAAGGCCATCCGGTTACTAACGCTTCAGCAGTTCGGCTGGTGGGATCGCTGAACGACTTCCCTAGGAATCTCCGGTTAGGTCCTCCCAGTGCCAACTCCGCCCGGCTCCCGCGTTTCTCCCTCCTCCCCTCTCATCCTCTAGGCCCCCCACAGGGCTCCCCACCCCAGCTCTCGCGCCTCAGCAACCCCTTCCCCTTTTTGTTCCTGCTGATCCAGCGAGCCAGGCTTTCTCCTTCTCTGGTCTCTCTTCCTCCTCTCCCCCTTGAATCCAGTCCTGGTTTCCCCGCCGCCAGCTTCCCCTTTCTCTCCGACTAGGCTAGCTCCCCGCCCCCGCCGCGCCCGTCGTCACCGCGGTGGTTTCAGCTCTTCGCTTACCCCGCTCCCAGCCACCCGGGGCTTGGCTCGCCCAGTCCGGTGGCTCCAGTCCGGATCTCGCTGCTGCCCTACCCGGGTACGAGTACCAGCCGCTGGGGAGGAGGCGGCGGCTGGCCCCGGCTCCCCTCGGCCGCCTTGCCAGCCCGGGGTTGGCGGGGAGGGAGCAGCAGGGCAGCCCCCCGGAGCCCCTCGGAGGACAATGCACCCAGCGCTCGGCAACCCCCGCTCGGTCTCGTCCTCGTCCGGCTCCTTCCCACCGCCCCCCGCCGCTGCCCGGCTGCAGCCCCTCTTCCTCCGTGGGGGTTCCTCCCGCGGCCGGAGAGGCTCGGGCGACAGCAGCACCAGCACCAGCACCAGCCGGGGGGGAGGCGGCGGCAGACGCGGCGGGGGCGGCGGCGGCGGCGGCGGCGGCGGCTCCCCGAGTAGCAGCACCGGCGCGGAGAGAGAGGACGACGACGAGAGCATCAGCATCAGCAAGCCGCTGGTGCCAGCCGGCCTCCCGGGACCCCCAGCTCAGGGGGGCGCCCCAGCCGCCGACCCCGCGCCCGCCGCCTTCTCCTCCTCGGCCGCCACCTCCTCCTCCACCTCCACGCCCACCTCCTCCTGCAGCATGACAGCCGCCGACTTCGGCGGGGGCGCTGCGGCGGGGGCCGTCGGGGGCCCCGGGAGCCGCTCGGCGGGGGGCGCGGGCGGCACGGGGACCGGCAGCGGCACCTCCTGCTGTTCGTGTTGTTGCTGCTGCGGCCGTCCGGCCCGCCCCGGTCGCAGGGGTCGGCGCCGAGGCTGCGTCCCCAGCCCTGGGTGCCGCTGGGGCTACCAGGCGCTGTCCGTGGTGCTGCTGCTGGCACAGGGTGGTCTGCTGGACCTGTACCTCATCGCCGTCACCGACCTGTACTGGTGCTCCTGGATCGCCACCGACCTGGTGGTGGTGGTGGGCTGGGCTATTTTCTTCGCCAAGAACAGCCGGGGCCGTCGGGGCGGCGCGGTCAGCGGCGCGCACAACCACCACCAGCACCACCACCACGCCGCGCCGCCTCTACATCTACCCGCCGCTTCGGCCGCCTCCGCCGGGGCTGCCGCAGGGGCCAAGGCGCGCGGCGCCCGCGGGGGCGCAGGTGGCCCGGGAGCCGGCCCGGGTGCTGCCGGGGCCGCGGGCGAGTTCGCCTTCGCCTACCTGGCCTGGCTCATCTACTCCATCGCCTTTACGCCCAAGGTGGTGCTTATCCTGGGCACGTCCATCCTGGACCTCATCGAGCTGCGCGCGCCTTTCGGCACCACCGGCTTCCGCCTCACCATGGCGCTGTCCGTGCCCCTGCTCTACAGCCTGGTGCGGGCCATCAGCGAGGCGGGCGCCCCCCATGGCTCGGCGGGACCCCTGCTTCTGCAGCCCCAGCAGCACCGAGCCGCCGGCTGCTTCCTGGGCACGTGTCTGGACCTGCTCGACAGCTTCACCTTGGTGGAGCTGATGCTGGAAGGCCGCGTGCCGCTACCCGCGCACCTGCGCTACCTGCTCATCGCGGTCTACTTCCTCACCCTCTCCTCGCCGGTGCTCTGGCTCTATGAGCTCAACGCCGCAGCGGCAGCCTCATCCTGGGGCCAGGCTTCCGGGCCGGGCAGCTGTAGCCGCCTTCTGCGCCTGCTGGGCGGTTGTCTGGTGGACGTGCCCTTGCTGGCGCTGCGCTGCCTCCTGGTGGTGAGCTACCAGCAGCCCCTCTCCATCTTCATGCTCAAGAACCTCTTCTTCCTCGGCTGCCGTGGCCTGGAAGCCCTAGAGGGCTGTTGGGACCGGGGGAGTCGGGCCTCCCCGACTCGGGGGAGAGGGGGCTACGGCGCTCCGCCCTCCGCCCCGCCACCGCCACCGCCACCGCCACCACCTCAGGGAGCCTCCCAGCTGGGCCACTGCATCTCGGAGAACGAGGGGGGTGCCCATGGCTATGTCAATACCCTGGCCGTGGCCTCCCAGAATTGAGGAGGGATAAGGGAGAGGGGCTTGCTTTGGGGTTGAGAGACCCCAGCCCCTTGTCCTTTGATCGTCTTTCACCCAGATTTGATCAGGGTCTATTTGGAAGACGGAACTGTTAATAGGGCTAAGGGCCAGTGTGTCCTTCTGCACCCCTTGGGTCAAGACTGCTTGGAGGGAGACCAGCAGCTAATGGTGAAGGAGGAAGGTCCACCTACTACTCTATTTCCCCTTCTCCGTGCCCTACCCTAATCTAGCCTCCAGGGGCCAGATACCTCTGCTTCTTGCTTTTCCCACCACCATCCTAATTCTTGTCCATTGTTGGAGAGAATGGTGAAAAGGGCGTGCCCAGACAGGGGTGCTGGGCCTGAAGCCTTCCCCCTGGCTTGGAAGTGCCAGATTCTTATAGGCTGTGGTTGGTGATCATTGTCCCACGCCTTGAAACTGATCCAGAATCCACTGTTCCCCTGATGTGTCTATTGGATTTTTTTCCAGATGGTAGATGCCAAGTCTGTGTTTGTCTGTGTGTATAGTATAGTTTTCTTGTTTCCACACTGTGGCCCCTTGCAATCAATAGGAGATCTGGGGAGGCCCTGTCCTTCCCACCACACATAGGACCACCCTCCTCATTCCTACCTGAATTTGTGGCCGTGAATTCCCAGAAAGAGCTGGGCTCCTGGGAGCTACCCAGTTGCTCTCCTCCAAGGGAGACGCTCACCCAGGATCTTCCTCAATTCTACTCCTCTCTTCTCAGCTTGGGGGAGGAGAGGGTCCATACCCTAAGGACAAAACTGCACCCTTTCTTGGGTGAGTGAGCATTTCTACCTCCGTGCTTTCAACTTTTGTTGCATCATGCACTGATGCTGCTTGCAAAAAAATAAAGGCAAAATACTCAGAAGTTGCATTTAACATGGCCACTGGATCCAGCTGGGGTTTGGTGCCAGTCTTATTACAGGGTCTGTGGAGTATCAGCCATTGGCTTGCCCTCCCACTCTCTCTCCCTCTGCACCCAGAACTCTTATCCTTCCCGACGTTTGTTGCTAACTGGGTCAGATCTTGGCTTAGAACAACAGCCTTTGGGTTTCCTGAAATGATGTGAAGCTGGGGCTCCAGTTGGCTCAAGGAAATCCAATTCCACATCTGTCCTTCCTCTGGGAAGCCTGGTGTGGTTCAGAAAAGGTGGTGATGACCTTTATCCTCTGCTCTGGTAAAGAGAATTTCTAAGGAGAAGGCAGTTGCAGAGGAAGTCTGGGTAATTCCTCCCCCTGCCCTGCCTTCCTCTCTGGCATTCTTGTTGAGATTAATGACAAGGGACACCCAGCGGTTGCCCACTTATGGTCTCGATGTGGGACATCTCTCTTGGAATTTTTGAGGGTGGATAAGTATTTTTCGGGGAGGTAAGAGTGTAGGAGGACTGTTGGCAGCAAGGCCAGGAAATACTCACTGTCCTCCACCCCAGAATAGGATGGGGTGGGGGCAAAACTGTAAGAATTTTTGTTTCCCCTCCCCCACCCCCTCGTATGCTTTGTGTGGTGTAATACACCCTGGGCAAAGGACCAGAAGTCATGATTGTAGTTTTGACTGTCCCTCACTCGCTTTGATGGCACATTGCTTTTGATTTCTGAGTCTCAGTGTTTTACTTGGAGCTCTTTTCTCCCAACTTCTTGGGGGTTTGTTGACAGAGACACAGAGAGACTGATGTCTTGACCAGAGTCCTTCTGAGCCTCCCCTACTGTCACAGTGGGGAATGATGGAGGAAACATGTTTACACTCAATGTATTAATCTATGCTCCCAGCCCCTTGCCCTCCTAGGTCCAATATTATTAGTGGGTTGGATTTTGCAACTAGTCTTTTTTTTCTGTCTCCCCACTCCCCCTTCTCCCACCACCATATTCTTTCCCTTTGAATTCCGTGTGCTCAAAGTCCTGGGCCCAGACTCTTCCCTGGGTCTCCATCTCCTGTCTCCAGCTTTGCTCTCTCTGCTACCTAATCTCAGTGGCTGTGAATGGACTTTGTGTCTGAGCCATGGCCAGCCCCTGGCTGGCCCCTGCCTCACTCCCTTTCTCCTGTTTGGATGCTGGTCTCCCCCACTGAGTGATTGACTATAAAATCTGAATGCTGTTGAGTTTTCTGGTGGGAGGCTGTGATAGGTTCCAAGGAGCTACCACTTCCCTAGGTACGCTGAGAGACTGATGGCAACCCGGCCAGCTCTGGCAGAGGCTGGTCCTGCTCAGGCTCTGTCTGCCGGCCCCCCACTCACCCTTGGACATTCTCTTTCAAATATCTGGTGCGAGCACTTTGCGCTCAGGGGTCAATCCCTTCCTTCCGGTGTTTTTCATGAGTGCTTTTACTTTCTTTCCTTGCCCTACTCACAGTGAGACATGACCCCGATTTTTTCTTGCTTTCTAGGAGCATCTGTAGTGGGGGGTCAAAACTGGAGATGTTTCCCCGGGGAGGTGCACTGTCTCCTGAGGCTCACGCCAGCAGTATGGTTCACAGGAAAGTACCCTGGGTACAGAATTCAGACCGTCTGCCTCTAATGTGTGTGCCAGTAAGGCGTGCCCTTGACCTGAGCCTCTGACTCTACAGATTGCAAAAGGGGGCTGGACCGGCCTCTCTCTAAAGGCTGTTCTGATATAACCTGGCCTGGTTCTGAGTCCATGTGTTTTTGGGGGAAGAGAGTTGGCTGGAAGTTAGAGCCTGGAAGAAGGGAAGTTGCACCTCACTAGCGTTGAGCACGTTCCCCCTCCCCCCTTTTTCTTTTTAAAAATAAAACCAGCCTCTGTTCTGAAAATAAAAAACTTGAGACTTGTGACAAGCTTCCTGTGTGGTTTGTTTTAAGATCTTTCCTGTCCTGGTTTCCTTACTAAATTCTTAAATGTCACTGTGACATTTGTCATCATTTTATAGGCTTGTGTTAACATTGTGGGTACACTTGGCCATTTCCTTCTAGGTGGTTGGCACTAGTCAGGGAGGTGGGGTAGCTCTGGCCTTGACCTGGGGGGTGTCTAGGCAGACTTCCTATAGGCAGAGCTAACTCACGTGGGCTCTTGACCTGAGAGACATTTCCCCAGACAATCCCATTTCTTTCTAAGAGTAAGTTCCCAAAGAAAAGAGTTTGAGAGACTTATATTCAAATACTTTGCCCTCCTCTCTGACTCTTGCCCCAGCCAGAGGCATGAATTATGTATGAATGAGACAAGCAAGACCTTTCTTTAAACAATACCACCACCACCACAACACAAAGGGGACTGTGAAGTCTGACAGAATATTGAGTCTGCACACACACAAAAAAGTTTTGTTTTCTTTTTTTTTTTTTAGCACAGAAACAGCCAGCACTATTGAACCGCTCTGTGCTGTTGCCCTGTGATGCTCGTGGCCATTCCAAGGGCCATACAGCGGTTGGACCCAGAAGGCAAAAGAGGCAAACTGAGAGCATGGGAACCCCGGTCCTGGGCTTGTTCTGCCTCCTACCCACTGAGGCTGTGGGCACTGACCTCCACTCCTGGGGTGTCTTCATCACTTATCACCCAGGAGCACTATTACCTCACAAGGCTGTGTGAATAATTAAATGAGGGGGCGTATGGAAAGATGGTCCTTTTCCTCAAGATTGATAATCATAACCGAGGATAAAATTCACATGTAAAACAATGACAGAAAAACATAAGACCACATCTTCCTTTAAATAAGATAATGAATTTGACTAAGCATGTTATGTTGACATGTTTCTCACAGGTAAGCAAGCTAGCTGTCCCCCTGTGCTCGGCGGAACCATGCATGAAAGAACCATGTGAAAGACGAAGAAATGGCACGTGGACGGGGGTGTATTCGCGTGGGCAGTGCAGAGGCTCCATGCGGGCCTTGCCAAAGGCTTGAATCTGTCCCTGGGTTCTGGCCCTTGGGAGGCTCCGGGGACACATCCTGTGCTTGCCTGTGGAGGCCCCCAATGCAGAGCCACTCATTTCGTCCTCACAGCCATGGACAAGGGAGCTTGAGCTCCATTCTCCTGAGGTCCAGAAAGATATAGCTTGCTGAATTCCATGCTGAGGTCAGGAAAGGAATCCATGTTTGAACCCAGGCCTGTCTCCAAAATCTGCACCACCCCAGGCAGCCTTCAGACTTAGCTGTTGACAGAGTTCAACTTCTCCTTATTAAAGCTGAATGGTCTAGCTAAAAAAAATTCTGTGTGAGTCCCAAGGAAGTGGAACTGAGTGAGAGTCAGGGGACAGCCAATCGGGCGTCATGTCTTTCTCCTCTCTCTCCTCTCAGGTCACTGTTGTACCTTCTTTCTCTCTGATCAGAAAGGAAGGATCCACAGAACTAATAGCCCAGGGAACTATACTCCTCCTAGGAAGGGAATCCAGGGACTGGGGTCTGGGGAGGCATGTTGGACAAGACCTCCCGGTATCCTTGAAATCATGAAAGGGGGGACTCCACGTTCCTCTGACAGACAAGGCTGATTCTCCAGGGCACTTCACCTGCCTCGACCAACTCAAACAGGACACGAATGTGCACCCAGCACCAAGATCTGGGAGAGCTGGCAGGGCATGGAGGGCAAGGGACAGACCAAAAGCAAGAAGATGGACAGTGAAGCCATTTAGCAGTGATGTGGGAGGCTGCAAGTGGGCACCCCAACTTCACAGCCTGTACCCAGGGGCTGGGGGCAGTCGCTTTATTTCATATTCTCCCATAATATTGACTATTGGATCATATATTGCTTTTGTAATCTGAAAAAGCGAACACCAGAACAAGAAAGTCCTAACAATGTGAGGAAGGCTAAACCGCCCCACGTTCCTCAAGCTAAGGAAGCTGGTCTGTGCTCCTGGCTGCGAGGCGATGAGACCTCAGGAAGCCCCTGAGGTCTCACAAGGGCACCAGCAGGTACGGGTGGCAACACCTGGATGGAACGAGGGCGGCCTTGTGCTGAGTGCTCCCATGTGTGGGACCCCACCCCAGCGCCTCACATGGAGGTTCTGTCCACTCCTCAGAGACCTCTATGAGGGCGGAGCCCCTGCTGAGCCTCCCGCAACCTGAGAGCTCAGGAAGACCACCGGATCAATCTCAGGGCTGGCAGCGGCAGAGCCAGGGCCCCAGCCTTGGGTTAGCTGCTGCCAGCCTCCTTTTAAAGAACCTCCCTCTGGATGCCTGGGTGGCTCATTTCGTTAAGCGTCTGCCTTTATCTCAGGGTCCTGGGATCAAGCCCTGCATCGGGCTCCTTGCTCAGGAGAAAGCTTGCTTCTCCCTCTGCCTGCCGCTCCCCCTGCTTATTCATGCTCTCTCTCTCTCCCTCTCTCAAATGAATAAATATTTATTTTAAAAATAAAATTTTATTTTTATTAAAAAATTAAAAAAAATTTATTTATTTGACAGAGAGACGCGAGAGAGGGAATATAAGCAGGGGGAGTGGGAGATGGAGAAGCAGGCCTCCCACTGAGTTGGGAGCCCGATGCAGGGTTTGATCCCAGGACCCTGGGATCATGACCAGAGCCCAAGGCAGAGGCTTAACCAACTGAGCCATCCAGGCATCCTGAATAAATAAAATCTTCAAAAATAAATAAAATCTTAAAAAAAATTAAGAACCTCTCTCTCCAACCACCCAAGGAGACTGGAAAAACCCAAGGCAGGGCTGGAGTACCAGCTCTGCTTTTTATTCCAAACTGAGGCATACTTGGGCTCTTACTTTCTTGCATAGCCTGGAGCAGCTGGTGTCTCCTGGCCCTGAACTGGCGGATCTTTTCTGGAAGCGCTGGGGCAGAAGCGGGCCAGGCACTGTCCTTATTTATTTGGGAAGGGAGGACATCAACCACAGAGCCTAAAGGATTAAAACTTCCCATTTCATTGTAAGTACATCTTCCTCTCCTTTATGCCTTAATCTTTAAAGACAAGCAAAAGCAAAGTAAAATCCATCACACGCAGGCATTCAGAAATTCCAGCTCAAACTGCTGAACCCCTCTGAGGTCCTTCCTAAGCAGAAAAGAGAAACCAGGGTAGAAGCAAAGTTGGAAAGCCTGTCTACACCACCATCTAATCAGTCCCCGAGCCCCCACCACCTCGACTAGGATCAAAGATGGCAGGCAGGCAGTCACACAAACCCACTAGGAATCGGAAGCTGGATGCCAGGCCCAGGTCGTCACTCCACTGTAGGTTTGGGTTACACGTTGACTGTGGGTCCTTCCACCTCCTTGGGCCACTTTGCTCTACTCTACTTAGGTGAGGGTCTTTTTTTATTTTATTTTTTTAAGATTTTATTTATTTATTTGACAAACAGAGACCACAAGCAGGCAGAAAGGCAGGCAGAGAAAGAGAGGGGGAAACAGGCTCCCCGCTCAGCAAAGACCCCCCCACCCCCGCCGGCAGAAGCCGAAGGCAGAGGCTTAACCCACTGAGCCACCCAGATACCCCTAGGAGAGGGTCTTGAGTGGTAGGAAAACCCCAGCTTGTGGGACATCTGTTCTTAGAATGGTGTTTCTGGGTGAAGCAGGATTTTATTAGCCATATTTCAGAAGAATACGAAAAGCAAGGCAAGGCTTTATTTACACACGCTCTTCATGGTCTTGGCATTGGGCTGACAGCAGACACCACAGGCTGACGGAACTTCCGGCATGTGTGGTGAGCAAAGGCCAGTGTGAGCTTGGGGGCTCCAGGGAAAGGGAGGGAACATGGGAGGAACCAGGGCATGACGTTCAAGGAAGTGTCCAGAAGCCCTGGGGAACTTCACAATTCCATTTGTACTGGTTATGTCCACAACAGGCAAATCTATAGAGGGATGGGGAGCTGAGGGGGGTGGGTGGTGAGGATGAAGGGGTGCTGGATTTCTTTCTGGGCTAAGAGAAATGTTCTGAAATTGATGATGCTGATGGTTGCTGAGTTCTGAACTCTTAAAAGCCATTGAACTGCATAGGGTCAGCTGTGAATGACATGGATGTGCACCGTATCTCAATAAAGTTGTTAGGGAAACAAGCAGCCACCCTAGAGAGAGAGGGGACGCAGTGAACAATACTGAGGACACGAGGCCTCCAAGGCCAGCAGAGCTGGACGTCAAGGCTTGTGGGGAATGCAATGCAAATGACAAGTAGGCTTCTGGGCACCAGGGCCACACTGGTTGGGGCACGCCGGTGGCGTGTCCAGTCCACCATGCTGTTCCACGCTCTAGACATGGAGTAAGCACTTTGTGGAACCTGGGGCGACATCACCGAAAGCTTGATAGGCATGTGGCCCCAGCGAGGCCCACGGGCAGCTTTCTGGAGGGGAGATAGAGCCTGAGAGGCCAGCAGCTGGGAGAACGTGGCTCCCAATCTTGCTCAGTCTGGAAGGGCTCAGCGCAGAACACCGAACATGGGGCAGATTGCAAGTACACAAGTGGCTCATGGTTCTGGGGGCCAGCGAGTCCCAGACCAAGGAGCTGGCGGACTGGATGTGTGGTGGGAGCTTGCTGCCCGGGTCACAGATGACCATCTCACTGCGCCCTCACGGGTGCATGGAGCTCTCTGGGGCTCCCTCCTCCCCACCTAATCACCTATCCCTCCACTACTGTCACACTGAGGTATTTTGGGGGACACAGACACCCTGTGTGCAGCCCTGCCTCCCCTGGTCCTTCGTGGCCGTGGGGCTGTGTACAGGCCGCACGCAGTCTGGGCCTCCGATCCGCGGTCCCCGCGGTTGCACCAGGAAATCGCACAACTGGAAGGACCGGACGGCTGGGAACGTGACCTATGGTAACACGTGACTCCACAGAACGACGCGGGGTTCTCACCAGAGTAGACACATTTATTCCTTCTTTTACTGATCATCTCCCTTGTGTGCACATGTCTG